CACATACACACATCACACACATGCACAGACACAATGGAGTATTACTCAGCCATAAAAAATGATATGACTTTTGCCATCTGTGACAACATGGATGGACCTAGAGAGTATTACACTAAAGTCAGAGAAAGACAAATACCATATAATTTCACTTATATGTGGAATCTAAAAAACAAAACAAATGAACAAACAAAAAAGTACAAACAGACCCATAAATACAGAGAACAAACTGATGGTTGCCAGAGGGGAAGGGAGTGGGGGGTGGGAAAAATGAGTAAAGGAGAATAGGAGATACAGGCTTCCAGTTATGGAATGCTTAAGCCATGGGGAGGAAAGGTACAACATAGAGAATATAGTCAGTGGTACTGTAATAGTGTTTTATGGTGACAGATGGAAACTACATTTGTGGTGTGTGTAGCAGAACATAGAGAGTTGTTGAATCACTATGTTGTACACCTGAAACTAATGCAGCATTGTGTCAACAATACATCCAAAACAAAAACTAACATCTTAACTTAAGCACCATTTTTCATGACTCATTTTTTTTGTTTTTTTTTTTTTCTAGGTTGAAGTGAACAGATTTTTTATTCTATTGATCGTTCTTAAAAAATAGCTTTTTATTTTACTGATCTTCTCTATTATAATCTTTAATTTCTACTCTTATCTTTATTATTTTGCCTCTATTCTCTTTAGGTTTCTTCTCTCAAGGCAGTGTTAAACTTTGAAATGTGTTTTAATCTGTTAGATTCTCATTTATTTTTTTATTTCTAAAATGAAAATTCACCAAAAATAATGCCTTAACCAATATTCCTGATTTAAAGGAAATCTGAACACAACTTTATTAGTTAATTAGAGCTAGTTCAATAAAATCATAATGAATCAATTATCAGAAAGTTGCTGGTTAAAATAAACATGTAAGTAGACTTTGCAACTTTAAGTGATAAATGGTCTCCTTCAAGAAACATTCAGATAAATATACTTTTCGAAAACAGTCATTTTTAGTGTTAAAGTTGTTAAGTCAAAATTCTTGAAACTATTCTAATAAACCTTTCAATATTCTAAGAAAGCTCCTTACCCATGTTAACAATAAACTAATGAAGAAATTAACCTTATAATAAGTGAAACAACTTAGTATAGATTAAACTTAAACTGTATCTATACATCAAGTTGTAAAGTCTAGCTGAGCGTTTATCTTCTCAAAATATCTCTATCAACAGTCCCTCATTTCCCCAATTTTCTTATTAAGTTTGTACATAAAGTTCTGGCCAGAAATGGAGTAAATATTGACTTTATAGTTCTGTTTCCACTGTTCTGTTGTTCCTTCACTAGTTTCCTGTGTTGGAAATGTAGCTTGTGAATTTTCCATCTTGTTTCCTTTTTGGGTATAATAATTTAAAGCTATTAATTTCTCTGTATGTGGTGGTTTAACTGCATCCCGTCAGTTTCATGTTGTATTTTCACTACAGTTCAATTCCAAACAACTCCTAATTATGATGTAGTTTCTTCTTTGACCCATGTGTGACTTAAAAGAGTGGGTTTTTTGTTTTGGTTTGATTTAGTTTTGACTTTCTAGATGTTTGTGCATGTGTTATGGGGGTGGGGGCTGTTAATTATTATCTCTCATAACTGATTTTTAAGTAATTTACATGCAGTATGTTAAACAAAATTATTTATTCTACACCAATTTACTTTGTGACCTAGTTCTTGGTCAGTATTTTTTCCAGTGTTCTTTATTGAATAGGTAAGTTTTCCAAACATTATGAAAATCCACCTATTCAATAAGGCACACTAATTTTCCTGTTCACTATTCTTATGTTTTTTGTGCCTTCCTACTAGATTAAATTTTATTTCTCTGAAGGAATTCCTTTGCTAAAATTTCACTAATGGCTAATTAAATTTGTCTAAAAGGGTCTTTATTTAACCCTCACATTTGAATGCTTATTTCTGGATATAGGATTCTAAACTGGCAGTTATTTTCTCTAATAATTTTGAAGATTTTTTACAAAGTTTTCTAATTATTTTTCTTTGAAGATAATATATCTTAAAATAGTTTCTTTTTTGGTTCCACAGTTCTAATTCACAGGTATCTGGCATTTATTTTTGTTTGTTTGTTTATTTTTGTTTCCCTTCCTAGGACTTGAGATTTCTAAATCTGAGGATTGATGTCTTTTATAAGTTATGGAAAATTTCCAGACATCATTTCATTAAAAATTGCCTGTCTTCCATTTTCTGCACCTTTTTTTTCCTAGAATGCATGAGATAGCACACAGAAATAAATCTTCGCATTTCATCTTCTGTATCTCAACTCACCCAACACCATAGCATCAAGACACAAAGTGCTTGGTTACCAAGTCCAGAAACTGACTTCCACCCTGAATACTTTAGCTTCAGTTTACCCTCTTCAATTTCTGTTGGCATACACCATTCAGGGTTCCATCTGGTATTCAGTGGCTTTACTTTGGGCCCCTGGGGATTTCTCATACTTTCTTATAAGCTCAGCTATGCAATTAAAAGTGTATTTGTTATGATTTATAGAAGACTTCTGGGTGATTTTTAGTGGAAATATCTTCAGGTTATCTAGTTTATAACATTTCAGGAAATGGAAGTCAAGACTTTTAATCTTCAAAAAAAAGATTTAATTATGTTAGTAAGTTTGAAACAGTACAGGTAGAGGTGTTGGAAATTTTAGATAATGTGTCTGCCACTAGGGTTGAATCAAAAAACACTATCTAGGGGCGCCTGGGTGGCTCAGTTGGTTAAGCGACTGCCTTCGGCTCAGGTCATGATCCTGGAGTCCCGGGATCGAGTCCCGCATCGGGCTCCCTGCTCGGCAGGGAGTCTGCTTCTCCCTCTGACCCTCCCCCCTCTTGTGCTTTCTCTCGCTCATTCTCTCTCTCAAATAAATAAATAAATAAATCTTTAAAAAAAAAAACAAAACACTATCTAGTTGACTTATTATTTGCTTTTTCTAGTTTGTTTTCATCATTCTTCTGTCTTGTGATAAATAGGAACAAAAGGAACTTTTCTATGTTAACTAAGATTAAATGAGTACCTTAACCTTGATTCTTCTCAGATGGGAGTTCTAGAAGTTGACACTCTTGCAGATAGATTGCTCGCAATCCTAATTTAGATCCCTTTTTATTTAAATGGTTTCATATAGACTATGCTTTTAGTATGACCTGATGGTTTTAAGACCCAGGCTCAAATTCACCCACTTCATCCCACCTTCCTTTTATATATTTATGTACTTTGGGATCTTTCTCACTTCAATATTTGCATAACATTTATAGTTTTTACATCAACTGTTTTCTGGTGATTCCAAGGTTTCTTGCTTTACCTTCCCACATATATAAACTCCTCCAGAGCAAAAACAGTACTTAAGATTCTCTCTCCTGCTTCTTCCCCATGGAAGAAGCCAAGGGCAAACAAAGTTAAAGAACTGTTTGCCTGAATAACTTTATCTGTAACAGGACTTTAACTCACACCAGTAAGTAGTAGGAAACTGAAGCAATTAAGGTTTACTTAACTATACAAATCCTCAGTGTTTCATTATTTAATTTCTGCTGACACACCACCTTGTGGAAGGAAAGATTTAAGGTTGGTGGGGGAGAGGCTGTGGGGGGAGGAGTACATATGTATCAGTTACAAAGCAAGAGAAAGCCAAAGGAAGGAATAGTATTCCGGTTATAGAGATTCCAAAAGGGTCACTTGTAATTCCTCAAGCTTAGAACTCTCAGACTGATTAACACCCATTTAAGAAAAAATTTTTGAATACTTGTTACATACCAGTCAATGTTCCAGGGCATCTGGTATACCGTAGCAGACAAATTATACAAAAATTCCTGTCCTCACAGAGTTTGTATTCTAGTTATAGGTTAGAGATAAATAAATACATGAATACATAAATAGATGAATAAATATAATATATAACATGTCAGAAGTGCTGTGAAGAAAAATCTGAGCAGGAAAGGGGGCCAGAGGCTAAGTAGAGGAGATTGTCGTTTTAAATAGGATGGTTAGAAAAAGCATCACTAAGCAAGTGACATTTGAGCAAACAGCAGGCTGGAGGAGGAAGCCATGAGGCTATCCGAGAGAGGAGTGCTCAAGGCAGAGAGAACTGCAAATGCAGAAACACAGGCAAGAAGGAATCTCGCATGTCCAAGAACTAGCAAGAGAGTACTGCAATAAGAACGAGATAAGCAAAGGGGAAAACTGTCAAAATGGAGGGTAGAGGATCCATGGAAAGGGACAGCAGGAAGATCCTGGAGGGTCCTGTACATCACTGTATACAATGTGGGTTTTTCCTGACTGAGATAAGGAGCCATTGGAAGAAACTTTGGGGTAGGATTAGACAAATATTTCAAGCAGAAGAAAATGGCAAAAACTGAAGGTGACTGAGATTAAGAGTAGAGTTTTTTTGATGAAATAAATTATGGTATGTTTGTAAACTGATGGGCAGGATCCAGTTAGAGAAGCAAAAATAGGTGAATAAAATGTACACAAGAAAGGGGAAAATTGCTATAGTCGTTACCTCTACTAGAAGAGAGGAGGAGAGGTCTGATGTGGATTGGAGGAGCTGTTCTCAGCCAGGTCCAGAGTCCTGGTCACCCCTGGTATCAAGAGGGAGGCAGGGTGCAGATGGCTTAATGGCTGAAAGCCATGTGAGAGCATGAGCAAGTTCTCTTCTACTGGGTTCATTTTCTCCTTGAAATAGGAAGCAAGGTCAGCTAAGAATGACAATAAGGGAAGAGGTTTTGCGGGTTGGTGTAGAGAAAAAGGGACCTCCCAGAAGGCTACAGGACACAACATGGAGTACTGATGAGAGGGTTCATATTCCAACTCTGTCACCCATCACCCATCACCTGAGTGACCCTGGGCAAATCTGTAAACTTCACTAAACCTGTTTCCTCTTATGTAAAATGAGGATCACCACTTTGTGGTAAAGATGAAGAGAGACCATGTAAAAGCAATTGCTACCACTAGTAAATGACTACACTTAGTACATGTTGGCTGTTGACTGCCAGTACAGGTTAGGCAGTCAATTATGGATCAGTGAGAGGTTGTGATATCTTATGTCCACTCTCTTTTCAGGAGGTTTGTCCTCACCAAGCTTCGAGTCATCCCTAAAGGAGCATTTTCTGGATTTGGGGACCTGGAGAAAATGTATGTACCTGACAATGCTGTGGGTGCCTCAACCAGGGTGGGCTCACATCACATCCAGTGTGATGCTCTGTGCTTAGAAGCCAGAGAACCTTCTGAACCTCCTCCCATTTTCTTTCCTAATAATGGGGACTCTTTCAGAGTGTGGCTGTTGAGATGAGCATAAAGTCAATCTAAGCTATCCTCACTTTTTCTTCTTTAAGGTGTTGCTCCAAAGTACCTGTGAGCCGAATTTTTATAAACCAAAGCCAATTTTCTCTGCTGATACCCATTCTTTTTCAGGGATATTGTTTATTATTTCTGATTAATTTTTCATTAACAGCAGGGCCTAACATTTGTGTTTGAGATTCTAGAGACTTCTCTTTCCCATGCCATGCTGGCAAGTGTTAACTGATATATCAACATTTAAAATCATTAGGGAAGTTTACAGCACTGAAGGAGATTTCCTTTGAAAAGAGAAGACCCCTCTGCTAATGCAAACATTCACTCCTTACTGAACTAGTTTAATGTAGGGGTCTCCCCAAACAGGCTTTTCTCAAAATGAGGCACAGTAGTGAAAAGCAGAATAAATTCCTCCATGTTTAAAATAACCCACTCTTTCTTTGAAGGCTCTTGATCCCATCTCCCAGGTCTTAAGGGCCGGGAAAATCTGTTCTTCACCACAGTGGCCGCCAGAATTTAAACACCAATAAATATAGCAACAGATAGATGGATTACACAGAAGGGAATGATTTTTTTCATTGTAAGAAGAAAGCAATCCCCCAGGCTACATGCAGGTCTCTTTTTAAAAGCCATTCCATTTTTCCTCTTGGTTCTTTCACCCCTGTTTAAGAACACTTGCTGAAGTCTGAGGAAGCAAGAAAGAAATCCATTAATGAGGGAAACATAAAGCAGAGAGAGTGGCAATGTGTCTCAGCAATTACATCACCTGCTTAGAGAAGGGTGCTCAGAATCCTAGATTGGAGAGCTAGCTTTAATATAAACTTACTGTGTGACCTTGATTAAATCACTGTATCTCTGGGGGCCTTGGTTTCCCCATCGGTGGGTTAAGGAAGAAGTTTTAAAAGAAGGAGATAGCTTATGTGATCTCGAATTCCTAAGTGTAAGGATCCCCAGTTGGATGAGAGCCCAGTTTAAAATCTGCAGTCTTCCAGGGTTTACCCACTTGAGGACATTCAACACTTACAGGAATTGGGAGATGGGGCAATCTTTGGAGCAGAGCTCACCAAGGGAAACAAGGAAGGGATAGAGTTGGAGAGCTTTCTGCTCAAGGTGTATTCCTGGACGGGTTAGCCATTGCCCTGCCTGGAATTGATATGAACTAAATAACTAGACTACCCGATATGCCTTGTCCCCAAGCAGCCCTATAATTGCATAGAAATTGTTCTAAAGGCAGGAATATGAGCTACCACAAATAATCCACCTTAATCAAATTCAATGCAGCAGGTATGACTGACCCCTCATTGGGTGTTCAGCATCAGACAGGACCTTCCAATAGTATTATAAATCCTTAAGCTGAGCTGATATAGCCGTAATCCCAGAGACAGGGCAGCTGGCTCAAAAACGCCTCAACTTCCTCAAACACAGCTTGCCCATTTCTACTGCATGTCTTTATTAATCAGCCTATACTGACACAGCAAGATGCCTAAAATAAAATTAAAGTGATCTCATTTCTTTTGAATGCTTTGTGTGTCCTAGGGCTTCAAAAACATTGCATAGTAGAAGGCCTGGCACCGAATTGAACTCTGAACAGACTACTCTTCAGTCTCTATGCTCCCCTTCATCCATTGTCTCACCTTCCACTCTTGGTCAGAGATGAGTTCTCATCTCCTTTCTTATCTCCTTTCCTGATCTATCCCCTGTATTTCTGTTCTTCATCCAGTTTTTAGCCAGTTTCCTGAACTTATTAAGTATTGGCTTTCTCTTCAATATCTCTGTCTCCATGGACCATAAAATCCCTTTGATTCTTTCTGCCCATGTGGCCAAGTTTTCCCTCTCCTCTTTCTTGCCATTCCCACTCTTGTGAAAGAACAGGTGCATTCACTGCCCCTTGTCCTCTCCTTTCACGCACTCCTCAGCCAGCCCTCTTGCTACTGGACCACAAATTCCCTAACACCACATAATTACGCTATAAAAGGCCCCAATAATGATGGAACTGCCAGATCTCATGACTTCTACTTTGCGTTCTTAGTACTTAACTTACATGTAGCTTTTGATCTCATTGACTATTGCTGCCATTCTTCCTAACACTTCTGCCTCTTTTCACTTCAATGACACCACATCCTCCTGCCCACTCTGCTAGGCTCCCAGACTACTCCATAGATGGTTCTTTCCATCTTTCTTGGAAATCTTTCTTTTGAGGTTATAATTCTTGTTTTGATATGGAAAGACTCCTAAACATCTGTACCTAATTAAACTACAAGTACCTCAAATTTAATATATCCAGATTAGCTCATTGTCTTTATCCTTAAATTTCTCACCTTCCCATATTGCCCAGGGAATAGCATTACCACCTGCCGAGACTCCCAAGCAGGAAAATTCAAAATCTCCCTTGACTTTTTATCCCTTAAACCCGGGTCCCTTTCCAGTCCTATTTACGCTTTCTCAAAAATATCTCTGGAATCCAGCCCTTCTCTCACTCCCGCTGCTATTAGGTTCAAAGTCTCATCAACACTTAGATAGCCTGTTACATGAGGCTGTCATGCCAGCCCCAATCTCCCTAGCTCCCTGCTGCCAGCCCCACACTGCTCAAACTCTCTTGCAGAAGAAACTGGAGGGACTCTCACTGCCATAACCTTCAGTCTTAAGTGCCTGGCACAAAAATCAAAGCCCTTTATATTTCCACCATATGCACTGCACACCCCCACATTCTTACCAGGCAGGAGAAATTGCCATTTCTCAAGCATTATCATTATCAGACATCATATTTATTTAGAATGTGATGGCCAGTTCTTTGGACAATGCCTGGCACAAAGAGGAATCAAAAAAAAAAAAAAAAAAGTTACAGGTGAAGTAATTAATTAGCCAATTAATTAACAAAATATACTTTCACACTGGCCTTATATAGATGCTGTCCCTCTGCCTAAAACTTCACTTGCAATTGGAAAAGAAATCCTGCTAGTCCTCCAGGGTCCAGATTAAATGTTTACTCCTTTATATAGCCTTTCCAGAACTCTCAGTGTTTCCAAACCATGATCTTGTGTCCATACTATCAATAGCACATTTATCAGACTGTATTCAGAATTTGCAGTTTTTCCAGGTCCCTTAATTGTTCTTTCAGGGCAAGATCAAGTGTAACTTTTTATTAAAGTACAACACCCAGTCCTACTGTTTTTATCTCCTTGCTATACCTCTAATCTGTCCACTTACCTCCTTCTCCAGCCACCGTAATCTTTCCCAAGCTAACTGCAACACTTTTCGACTTGTGCTGCCCTATCTACCAGCATGCTCTGCCATTTACTACATGGCAACCAGAGTGATATTTT